CTGTGTGTCTCTGTAAAGAATAACAGAGAGCCTGCTTACCTTTCCCAGGTAAGCTACTCATGTTTCAGATCCTGCAGTTCCTAGAAACTGCCATGAACAGTACCATGGAGAGTCTGACCCAGACCGACTCAGCTAAGCTGGTCTCAACCCCCACGAACTGCCAGACAACAAATGTTACTTTAAGCTGCTGAGAGAAAGAGGAAATAGAGGAAGAAAAGATAGGACTGACCCCATAGCCTAGTGCTTAAGGAAGCAGGATCTCACATGGCTGACTATGGTTCAAATCCCAGCCATTTTCATAGATTGAAAATCCTTGGCTTGAAAAACATGCAAGGCACATATGCATGCAGAAAATCCCAGAGTGAAGAAATGAAGAAGAATGGATTGAGGCATAACCACATCTCTCTCTGCCATCCATATGTACCCTATGGCCCATGGCAATTAAAAAAGAAAGAACTCTTGGGACCAGCAGTTAACGTAATAGCTATGTAGCTGGACTCCCATGTAGTCGACCACGGTTCGCGTCCTGGACCCGGTGGCTTAAAACTCACTCTGGGCACGTGTGCGTGTGTGCCCAAGATCCCGAGAGGAGAACAGAGAAGGGATTGCGGTAAGGCCATCCCCCACCCCGAGGGGTGATTCCTCACTTTCTGTCTCTCTGTCTCTGTCTGTCTGGCGAGCGCATGCGCCCTATAGCAAAAAAAAAAAAAAACCTCTCAAAAAAAAAAAAAAAAAAGAAAGAAAGAAAGAAAGAACTCTTAAATTTAGCAACTAGAACTCTTCCAATTAATCCTGGCAGTTGCTAAAATTACCTGTGGGACTGGAGGAAGTTACTGGGAAAATAAAAAGGGTTGAAGCTCAGCGGGAACATGCGTATGTATGAGCTTCTCCCTGAGGAAGTGCCATGAAGGGTCGGCCCCTTGCAGTCCTTCAGCAATCCAACCTTGGCTCCTCCCACGAGGACCTGCTCTCTATCACTGTCTCTCATCCTCAGGTCCAACCCTTCACATCCCTATATCCACTGCTTGAGACACTGCCCAACCCAGAGCAGGCTACTAATATGGTATTACTGACTGATGGAAGGTAAACAGAGGGTCAGTTTGAGAAGACAGAGCTCTGGAGAAGGATGGTAGTGATGGCTGCACACCACGAATGTGCTGAATGTGACTGAGTGCTATATTCTAACATGGTTGAAATAATAAATTTTATGTTATGGGAGACCAGCAGGTGGCATGGTGGTTAAGGTGCTGGACACTCCCAAATGGCCAACCACGGCTCGAGTTCCGGACCTGGTAGCTTGCTTTCTCACTTTCTCTCTCTCTCTCTCTCTCTCTCTCTCTCTGTCTCTCTCTGGTCAAATTTTAAAAAAATAAATTAAATGAATGAATAAATAAAATAAAATTATTTTAAAAAATTTTATGTTATGATTTTTCCCACAACATAAATAAATAAATAAATAAATTACTAAAGTCACATTTTTCCTGTTGCAATAGCCCCTCTTCCACTACTGCAATGGACGCTTACAATAATTTATTTTGAACTGAAGTCTCTCCTTACTAAATCCAGATTTTTCAACAACTTTTTAAAATTCATGATAGAGCACAAATAGATGCACGAGAGAGAGAGAAAGAGAGAGAAGCACCCTCCACAGCTCTCGGTAACACTGTGATCATCCTTCCTCCAGTCCTCCAGGATCCTGGGCATGCACATGCTTCCAGTCATTTTCAAGCCGACCAGGTGGAGGGGACTCAAACTGCAGTCAGCATAGGGTTTTCAGCTCCACAGGCTAGTATGCTACCTGCTATGCCAAGATTTATTTTTCACTCGACAGCCTAATCCATGAGACACTTGCAAAGTTTATGGTCAGAGTGCTCTTACTGCAATAGTCACAGCCCACTCCCCTCCATGTTAATCCTTTTGAATAACTTGAAAAGTTAAAAAATAAGTAAATGGGTGAGATATAATCACATCTCATCATCACCTGCCCTTAGTTGTCCTTAACCTCCCTGACTACTTCTTGGTGGTCTCCTTTATCACATCTTGTTCTCTAAAAGGGCCCTAATTGTTCTGGGTCCTCTCATCACTATGCTCCCTGTCCAGCTGGTATCAGCAGGCCCTTGGCTTTGATTCTAGCTGTGCTGAGCACTGCTCCCAGTTGTTGACCTCCAGCCCAGCTGGCCCCTGAGCCCTGCCACCTAGTAAGGAGCACTAGTGGGCTCCTTACTCTCAAAGTGGTCAGGACAGAGTTCTGGAACAGGACGGTGGAGCAGTGGTAAAACATGACTCTCTGGCAAGGGTGAGCCACATTAAAAGGTTCTGGATTTGCATCTGGAGACCTGCCTGAGTCCACTGGCCACGTGTGTGCACATGATCCCAGGCTGGCTGAATCTGGGGGTGGATCACAGTGTCAAAATCTTAATGGGGTGCTCTTTTTCATACTTGTGGAAAAAATAAAATAAAAATAGGATCAGCAAGTCGTGAACGTGGAGGATCCCACATGGCTGGCTGTGTGGTTCAAGTGCTGGAGCCAGCAGCTTGAGAAACACGCCAGGAGCATTTGTGTGCATGCCTAAAATCCCAAGAGGAAAATAGGATAGGGATTGCAGCATGGTCATCCTTTCAGGAGGAGGGGTGATTTCTCACTTTCTCTTTCTCTCTCTCTCTCTTTCTCTCTCTCTCTCTCTCGCAGATCCATGTGCCCTACAGCAAAAATAATTTTTTTAAGAATTATTTTATTTAGCTTTATTTTTTATTATTTTCCAGTATGATCAGAGAAAGACACAGAGGGAAAGTGAGAAAGCAAGCCACCAGGTCCGAGACTCAAACCACCATTGGCCATGTGGGAGTCCAGTGCCCTTAACCACCATGCCACCTGCTGGTCCCAGCATAAAAGTATTTTTTTTGTTTGTGTTTGTTTGTTTGTTTGTTTGTGGAGAGGTTTTTGTGATAGGGTGCGTGCGCTCGCCAGACAGACAGAGACAGAGATAGAAAAGCGAGAAATCACCCCCCGGGGGGATGGCCACGCTGCAATCCCTTCTCCTCCATTCTCCTCTCGGGATCTTGGGCACCTATGCACACACGCCCGGCGTGAGTTTTAAGCCACTGGGTCCGGGACACGAACCGCGGTCGACTACATGGGAGTCCAGCGACATAGCCATTACGCTAACTGCTGGTCCCCCAGCAAAAAAGTTTTTAATAAATAAATAAAAGAGGGGCCAGCAGATGGCATGGTGTTCAGGCGCTAGACTCCCAAATGGCTGAACATAGTTTGAGTCCTGGACCCGGTAGCTTGTTTTCTCACTTTCTCTCTCTCTCTCTCTCTTTCTCTCTTTCTGGTGAGCATACATGCCCTACAGTAAACTTAATAATAATAATAAATTAAATAGGGACCAGCAGTCGGCATAATGGCTATGTTGCTGGACTCCCATGTAGCTGATCACGGTATGAGTCCCAGACCCGGTGGCTTAAACTCATGCCGGGAGCGTGTGCATCCATGCCCAAGATCCTGAGAGGAAAATGGATTGTGGCATGGCCACCCCCCTGGGGGGTGATTTCTCACTTTCTGTCTCTCTGTCTCTCTCTATCTTTCTGGTGAGCGCATGCACCCTATAGCAAAAACCTCCCCAAAAAATAATAATAAAAAATTAAATACATAATTTTTTTTTTAAAAAAAGGGAAAAAGAACAGTTCTCCTCCCTCCCTTCCTGGCCTGTTCCTCCCTCCTGTCTCTCTATCTTTGTCAGCAGCCACTTCCCCAGATGCCTGGGTCACAAATCTGGGCAGGCTCATGATTTCTATCTGTCCCTGGCCCCAACCTCCAACCCACCAGGATGTCCTACTGCTCCTCTTCTATGCCACCCACTGCCACATCTCCTTCAAAGCCACCTTCACTTCCCGCCTGGACTGCTACAGTGGCTCTCACCCCTGACCTCCTCAAACTCCATTCTCCTAACAGCAGCCACAGCATTGACTACAAAAGGAAGCTTTGGGGCTGGACAGGGACACAGTTGTAAAACACGAGGCTCTGTAAAACTGACCCAAATTGCAAAGTCCTGGGTTCACCCAGGGAGAGACCTCCCTAGGTACATCAAGCACACACATGCCCACGACCCAGGGCTGGCTAAAAGTAGGGTAGAATTGTTGCAACAGGACCCCGGGCTATCCCTGCCTCCATCTCTCTTGCTCATGAATGAAAGAAAAAAAAACAATAACTTTGTTTTTTTCTATAGGGTGTCTGTGCTTGCCAGTCAGAGACAGAGAGAGAATGTGAGAAAGGAAAAGTGAGGAATCTCCCCAAAGGAGAGATGAACATGCCTCAATTCCTTCTCCTCTAAGGATTTTGGGTGTGTACACACGTGCCTGGCATGATTTTCAAGCCTCCAGGTCTAAAACTTGAACCACATAGTTGGCTATGTGGGTCCAGCCACTTACTGGCCAAGAAAGAAATAAATTTAAAAAAAAAAAAAAGAAAGAAAAGAAAAACACAACTAATTTGGCTCACCATCCCTTGCTTCAAACTCTCCAAAACTCCCCAATGCACTCAGACTAATACCCACATTCCTAATGTCCAAAGCCCCAGGTCATCTGGTTCCTGTCCACCACCTCACCTTGAGGCACATGCCTCACTTCAGCCACACCAGATTTCGTGTTCCTGGTCCCACCTCCAAGTCTTTGTCCCTGGCTGTTCTTTTGCCTGTGCCCTCTCTTCTTGAACTTCAAGAAGCCGCTTCTCATTCCCACTCAGCCTACATTTCACCTCCTCTGAAGGGCTTCCCACTCCAAGGCCTAGAGTAGCCACCTTCTCCCAGCCCAGTTCTCTGGATAGCATCATCACTCGGCTGCTGCCTCACTCACTGAAGTTTGTCCTGCTTGCTGACTCCCCAGTTGCTGGAATTGGCCAGGTTTAAGAACCCCAAAGTTGGCTATGTGGGTCCAGCCACTTACTGGCCAAGAAAGAAATAAATTTAAAAAAAAAAAAAAGAAAGAAAAGAAAAACACAACTAATTTGGCTCACCATCCCTTGCTTCAAACTCTCCAAAACTCCCCAATGCACTCAGACTAATACCCACATTCCTAATGTCCAAAGCCCCAGGTCATCTGGTTCCTGTCCACCACCTCACCTTGAGGCACATGCCTCACTTCAGCCACACCAGATTTCGTGTTCCTGGTCCCACCTCCAAGTCTTTGTCCCTGGCTGTTCTTTTGCCTGTGCCCTCTCTTCTTGAACTTCAAGAAGCCGCTTCTCATTCCCACTCAGCCTACATTTCACCTCCTCTGAAGGGCTTCCCACTCCAAGGCCTAGAGTAGCCACCTTCTCCCAGCCCAGTTCTCTGGATAGCATCATCACTCGGCTGCTGCCTCACTCACTGAAGTTTGTCCTGCTTGCTGACTCCCCAGTTGCTGGAATTGGAGGAGGACATGCAGCAGTGAGGAGGGAGTGAGCACTTTGATGGAAATGCTTTGCCTCACAAATAAGCCCACAATTTGAAGGGTCGCCAAAGGGCAGACAAGTGAAGTCTATGGTGGAGGTGGAGCAAGTGATTACCACAGCAGTATGCTGGGGCTGGAGGTGTCCTAAATAAATGGTGACATGACTATGACTCCCCTGGCCTCGGGACCTGTGGCTAAGACATGGCCCATGTGTGTGCAGTGAGCTTGACCTTCAGAGAGACAGTGCAGCCGTCCGTCAGCACCCTCACCCACATCATGCCTTGTGTGAACAGACCAGTGACTCACTCTGAAGGAGGGGAGGGAAACCGTTCGAAAGTCACAAAAATATATTAAAACAGTCATCTTCTCTCTTGGCATGGGACTTCCTTCCCGGCAACCCTTGCCCACCACCACCACAGACTTTCAGAGAAAAAGATGCCCAGGGCAGGAAAATGGAGGTGGCCCACCTGGCTGCAGCCAGGTCTGAGGAGGCCCCTGTGGCCTGGAAGTGGAGGGCAACTAAGAGTCTCTACGGGCTGGACGCCAACGTCGACGTGGGGGCCGCTGAGAGGCCGGAAGTGCAGGAGGGTCAGGCAGGACGCAGCGGACAGTCGGGCCTTGCCACAGGGACAGAAAACAGAAGAGAAATGAACAGAGTGAAGAGAGGGAGACAGAGAAGTTAAAGCAATGGGGAGGCACGGAGGAGTGAGGGAAGTCAGTAGGGAGGGGAGCCCCTCCAGGTGACACCCACTCCAGGGAGGCTGAAAAGCTGGGTTCAAGGCAGCAGACGCTGCTGAGAGGCAGAAATGGGGAATGGAGGAGAGGAAAGGGCACCTGGCACTAGAGAGGTGCAAATGTGGGTTCTGCCAAGGCTACAATCAGAACGGACATGGGAGAAGGGCAAGGCCCAGAGTTGGTCAGGCCAGAACACATGACCATCCCAGACCAGGAAAAACAAGGTGACTCCCCAGAGTGCTGGGGCCCGGCTCAAATGCCTGAGGGAGATAACAGTGGCATCCAAGGAGCAGCCAGGCAGGTGAAAGAGCCCTCATGAAGGCTCTCATGGAGCCAAGAGCCTGGAGAGGGGCCAGGGCACCTGCCCCACAGAGGGCTAAAAGGTCCTACGGCCCAGTCTCTTGAACACGCTCACGGTGCCCGCATGGTCCATCTGGGCACCAAGGCCCTCACTGGAGCTGCTCCCCCGGGGCCCCACCAGAGTTCTCTTAATGGTGACCTTGACCTCAGCTGATGACTTACTCTTGGTGCTTGTGACCTGGCTGTCCTGGGCCTCAGGCACAAGGGCAGTCTTGCCCAGTCTGTGAATGATGCTGACTTTGGACAGGGCCTCTGGCTTCCTCTCGAGTCGAGGGCGTGACGAAAGCGCCAAGCGCCGCAATGTTGGGGTGGTGGTTGTTGTCGCCGAGCTTGTGGCCTTGGCTTTGACAGTCAGTGTTGGCTGGGGACTGGCCTTGGCTGAGCCCCGTCCTAGTTTCTTTAGGACCCCAGCATACTGCAAGACAGAGCTGCTGCTGTCGTTGTCACTGTCCCAAGCCAAATCCTCATCCATCTCTGGGGTGGCCCCAAGGCGGCTGAAGACTCCTGTGGGCTGGGGAGGTCAGAGTCAGGACAAGTGAGTCATTCAGATTCTCAACACATATCTATGGAATGCACAGTTTTGGCAGAAGCACCCATCAGTGGTATCCTAGCTAGTGGTGGGAGCCATGTAGGTGGAGATCCAGGGACTGAAGGAGCCCAGAGGGAAGACTGGACCTTGCCAGAAATTCAGGGAATGCTCCTTGGAATAGAAGACATCTGAGCTGAAGTCTAAAAGCTAAACAGAGATGGGTCTAATAAACAAGGGGAGAAGGGAGGGTGTGCCATGTAGAGGGAAGAGTATCTGCTAGGTCTACAGGTAAGCATGAGTGGAAAGATTTATTTGGTCTTATTTCAACTGTGTGCCTGGCCCTGGGCTGTGTGGTGCTGGAGACCCCACGATGACCAAGACAGCTCTGGCTGTGCACTCATGCTGTTCACAGTCCAGTGAGACAAACTTGGCATCAGAAATGATGCAAATAGTTCCTTCAGCATGATAGCGATATGGAGGAGAGTGGACTGTGGCAGGCAGGATATGGTCAGCGCCTCTCCTCTTGGAGTTCAGAGCCACTTTCTCTGAGGCCCCAACTTGGAAGTCAGGCCCTCCAGAGTGAATGAGCAGAAAAATGAGCACATGCTAT